CCTCGTGGCCTCTTGGCCTCCCTCTCCTCTCGCTCCTAGTGACGGACAGACTCAATATCCCGGGCAATGTCCACAACCTCCTCGAATGTAGCACTAGTCATCCTCTCCCTGGTCATGAGAATACGGAGCTGCTAAGTAAGACCATCGACAAATCTCCTGATCCTCTCCCTATCCGTCGGGACCAACCAGATGGCATGACGAGCAAACTCAGAGAACCTCAACTCATACTGTGACACGGTCATCTCCCCCTGACGCAACCACTCAAACTGCCTGCACAACTCCTCTCTGCGAGACTGCGGCACATACTTCTCTAGAAAGAGAACGAAGAACTGCTGCCAGGAAAGGGGTGATGCACCAACAGGCCTACGCCTCTCAAAATCCTCCCACCAAGTAAAAGCAGGTCCTGAAAACCGATAGGTAGTGAAAGCAACCCCGCTGGTCTCCAGAATACCGGCTGTACGAAGCATCCTCTGACACTTGTCCAAAAAGCCCTGGGCATACTCGCCCTCTGCTCCACTGAAGGTCGGAGGCTGAAGTCTACCAAATCTCTCAAACCTACGCTGCTCATCCTCTGGCATGACAGGAACTACATAGCCCTGAGCAGCGGCAACCGGCTGATCTGGGTGTTCCCCCAGCGTCTGAAGTCCCTGCACGACCTGCTCAGGTGTGCGGGCGGCAGGAGTCTGACTGCCTCTCCCGGCCTGAGAAGTAGCTGCGGCTGTAGTGGCTGAAACCGCCTGAGCTAGGCCAGTGCAAACTGATAATATCTGAGCCAAGGCCTCCTGAAGACCCGGAATCACAATAGGCACAACTGGTGCCTGAGCTGGTGCTGTTGGAGGGTCCACAGCTGGGACCTGGTCCTGAACTGGGGCAGCTGGTGGATCTGCAGGTGCTGCCCTCGCTGCTCTGCCTCTACCACGACCACGGCCGCGTCCCCGGCCTCTAGTGGCCCCGGCTGGTGGTACTGGTGGTCGTCCACCCTGTACGGTAGCGCGCGTCCTCACCATCTGTGAGAGAATAGAACAACAAAAGTTTAGTACTCGGATCACCAAATTCGCACGACAAGAAGTTCAAGAATATGAAGTTTTCCTAAAGCTTCTGCAGCCTCTCGAGGATAAATACAGACGTCTCCGTACCAATCCGCGAGACTCTACTAAACCTGCTCATGACTCATGAGACCTATGTAACCTAGGCTCTAATACCAACTTGTCACGAACCTAAATCCCAACCCGATCGTGATGGCGCCTCTCGTGAAGACAAGGCCAGCCAACTAAACCCAATTTACCTTTTTAAGCAATTTAACAACATAAAGCAGTCTAAAACACGATTTAATAGTATTAAGTAGCGGATAATATCAATAAAGTGCGGAAATATAACCCAACACAGCCCAAACCGGGGTGTCACAAGTCATGAGCATCTATAAGTCATGATAAAGGTCTGCTAAGTTTGTAAACTAGTACATCTGTCTGAAACATGATAGAAATGATAAAGGAGGAGAAACACAGAAACTGCGGACGCCAAGCAGCTACCTCGTGTACTCCGAATGTCCGCTTGAAGCTGGAAGGATCAGCACTCGAGAACGGAACCAGCTACGCCTGAATCTGCACACAGGGTGCAGGGAGTAAAGTGAGTACTCCAACTCAATGAGTAACAAATGTAAATAATGACTAAAAGTAAGAAAACACGTAAGGCACAAGGCATTCTATAATGAAGCAGTAAAACTAGTTAAAAATAGTAGACCAGTGAAAAGCCAAGTAAAATCCTTTTTCCAACAATGAACAGGTAACTGACAGACAATTAATGTATAGTAAATAAATAGAAGCTCGCCCCTCAGGCACAATATCCACAAATCCACCGCTCGGGCAACATCTCAGAACAATACTAGCCCCTCGGGCTCAATCTCACAACACAATGGGTACCCGCACTCACTGGGGGTGTGCAGACTCCTGGAGGGGCCCCTTACGGCCCAAGTGCAATAACAAGCCATCTCGTGGCATCAAATCTAGGCCCTCGGCCTCATATCAATCAAGCCACCTCGTGGCGTACATATCTCAGGCCCTCGGCCTCAAATCAGTATCAGTGTTTCCACACAACATAGGCCCTCGGCCTTACTCAGCCCCTCAGGCAATAGTAAAACAGTGTTTCTCGGCCCAAACATCATTTAAAATATCATTTAAGTCTCAAACTGAGTAAAAATGGCTGAGTAGTAAAATAGTAGGAAAAATAACATGACTAAGTTCAAGTAGTAAGTCAAAACAGTGAGGAAATATCAATAAAAAGCCCCGAAGGGTTCAAATAGTTGGCACTAGGCCCAAATATGGCATTCAGCCCAAATAATGATGATAGCAAATGGTTTTTCAATCAAATACGCGATAAAATCATCAATCGGGACGGACCAAGTCACAATCCCCAATAGTGTACGACCCCACGCTCGTCATCAAGCGTGTGCATCACCTCAATATAGCACTACGATGTGCAATCCGGGGTTTCAAACACTCAGAACATCATTTACGATCATTACTCACCTCGAACCGCCTAAATCTCTAGCTCGCGACGCTTTTGCCCCTCGAATCCGCCTCCACGCGCGTCGAATCTATCCAAAATTAGAACGAGGACATCAAAATATGCTAAGGGAACAAAGCCCAAGCGAAAACAATCAATAAAGGGCACAAATCCCGAAATTACCAAAACCCGACCCCCGGGCCCACATCTCGAAATTCAAAAGTTTTCACACCAACGGATTCCTTATCTCCCCACGAGTTCATACATATCAAGAATACTAAAATCGGAGTCCAAATGACCCCTCAAATTCTCGTTTAACTGCTTCTTAAACTCAAGCCCTAATCCCCCATTTTTAGCCCTTTAATTCCTTTAATTACAACCTTAATCCATGAACTACTACCATAGAAATGTGTTTTAGGTCCAAAATCCTTACCTCAATGAAGTTCCCTTGAAATCCCTCTCTCAAATCGTCTAAAAAGCTCCAAGGCCGAAGTCAAAAATGGTGAAATAACCCAAATTCGCGAAATGAAATAACTTATATGTTCTGGCCAGACTTTTCCGCATCTGCGGTCCAAAGCCCGCTTCTGCGGTACTGCATTTGCGGCCAAACCACCGCTTCTGCGGTTTTTCACTTAAAACTCGAAATCGCATCTGCGATAGGACTTCCGCATCTGCTTCGCAGATGCGGCCATCTTGACCGCTTCTGCGGTATCTGCTCGCCAGTCCCCTTTCGCATCTGCGATCTTCTCCCTCGCACCTGCGGTCCCCAATCCGCAGGTGCGGAAATACCAGAAGCAGAAAATCTGCAGCTGCATCCGAGGGCCCCGGGACCTCAACCAAAAGCACAAATATATCTCAATACCTTATTCAAACTTGTTCCAATCATCAAAACACTTCAAACAACATCAAATCAACCAAAACGCCTCGGATTCAAGCCTAAGTTTCTAAAAACTTCCGAATTTCGCTTTTGATCAAAAACCCAACCAAACCACGTCCGAATAACCTGAAATTTTGCACACACATCCCAAATGACACAACGAAGCTACCGCAACTCTCGGAATTCCATTCCGACCCCTATATCGAAATCTCGCCTACCAACCGAAAATCGCCAAAATATCAACTTCGCCAATTCAAGCCTAAATCTTCTCCAAACCTCCAAAACCCATTCCGATCACACTCCTAAGTCCCAAATCACCTCCCAAAGCTAACTGAATCATCGGAACTCACCTCCGAGCCCTCTAACACATAAGTCAACATCCGGTTGACTTTTCCAACTTAAGCCTTCTAAAAAGAGACTAAGAGTCTCAAACTTCATCAAAACCAATCTGAATTCAATCCGACCAACCCGATACCTCAAAACACGGATAAACAAAATATAAAGAAACGAAAATGGGAAAAACGGAGCGGTAACTCATGAGACGACTGGCCGGGTCGTCACAGCCTTAATATACCTGGAGTAGGAAAAAATCCGTATGATGTTCTTGAAAAAGGTTACATCGTACTCCTTTAGAACCGTAAGATCTTACGTTATTAAGCTTTCCATAATCCTCGTTGGATTTTGGTTGAGAGATGTTTTGTTGAAAGTTGCTAACGTTGTGGTTGTAAACTTTTTGGTTGAATGGCTAATGTTGAATCTTGGTTGAAAGAAATTTTTGTTGTAAGAATGCTTAACATTCTGATCGTAAGTCTTTAGTATGGGAAGTGTAAGAATGGAATGAATGTGTAACGTGGTGCCACCTAACAAGAAATAAATCTTATTCATTTCTTTAGAATGTGACTAGCTGCCACTTTTTGGGTGGGAATTATTAATCTTTATCCAACTTATTTGTTAATTAGGTAATGTCCCGTTACCCGGTAATAAACCAATTACCCGCATAATTAAAAATTATCTCCAATTACTTAAAATTCTACTTATTTTTAATATACCCTTTTATATATCATACTATCATGGTCATATGGTACCTTGTATGGTACTAGTCCATAAATATCGGGTATTAACGCTCGGCCAGAATTTTATCCCAACATGCCAAACTTGGACGAAAATTTATGTTCTTTGACTAGCTTCCCCTCTCACTTTCACGAATTTACTCATCACTTGTGAAATAGCATAATCTTTATAATCTCCAAATAATTTTTTTTCCTTGGACTGATGTCAATTACCTTACGATAAATTCAACGTACAATACTACATGGTGCAACATTGTAGTAATTTAATACTGCGAAGCGTAACATCATCGTAATGTTGCGGGGCGTAACAGTTGTAGATACACATCTATATCATTTCCCGGAGATGAAGGAACTGGGATGGTCATTTACAACATTATATACTCTGGCTTCATGCAAATCCAAGGCGATAGATTATAGTTCATTAACATAACATGCCACGTGCTATGGGAAATACTCATTGTTCGAAACGGGTTGAAATCATCATTTGAAAGACCCAATCTAATATTACGAGGGTCGCTAGAGAATTCAGGGTGCAAGGAGTCGAACTCCTTCTAAGCATCACCATCAGCAGGATGTCTTATATTTCCATCATTCGGTCGTTCGGTGGCATGCCATCTCATAGCTGCAGCTGTTTCGGGACACATGAATATCCTTTGAAGGCGAGGCTTTAATGGAAAGTACCTTAAAACCTTTGCGGGGGTTTTGATCTTTTTATTAGTCAAGACATTAACAATATTTTTCCATCTAGAAGACCCACACACAGAACAAGTATCTGCATTTATATTGTCATTCCAAAATAACATGCAATCATTAGGACATGCATGTATTTTTCCATAATGAAGACACAAATCTTTTATCATGCTTGTTGCCTTGTAGAAAGACTCGGGTAGCTGAGCAAATGCAAATACCTCTTTTAACAACTCCAACAAGTCTGTGAATCCCACATTACTCAACCCGTGAATGCACTTAAACAAGTACAATCGAATCGTAAAACGCAATTTGGAAAAATTCTCACACCCTAGATATAATTCTTCTTTTCCTTCTTCTACTAATTTAAAGAATCTTTTTGCATCTTCGGAAGGTCCATCCCTCACTCTTTCATGTCCCAAATCAACCTCGACATTTCGAAATATATCATGAAGTAATCCATCAATATCATCATGCATCTCGGAACCTTCATCATTATTGCTTAGGCATGGAGTCTTTCTTGAGGAAAATCCTTCCCCGTAAAAAACCCATTTTGTGTATCCATGAACAAACCCATTAACAATCAAGTGATCCTTCACCACATTCCTATAATACCAAAAATAATTAGCGCACTCTTTACAAGGGCATAATATTTCATTTCCTTGGGAAGCTCGTTCAAACGTCTTATTAAGAAAATCATTCACTCCTTGTATGTACTCATCAGTTGACCTTCGGAGGCTCATCCACCTTTTATCTCCGTTATCCATTAAATTAGTTTTATCCTATATAACACCAAAACAACCGGTATAAATATGGTTTATGTACTTATAGAAAAAATCAGCTAATAAGAAAGAATAGAAAAAAAGCCACATATTCTCAAAATTATATGAGTTTCATTGTTGTGAAATTTAACGGTCACCAAAATCGTCACATAAACAGCTACGTAAGGAAATTTTCATCAATAACAAACATTTTAACAAATAGTGGCTATTAGATTTAGCAAGAACAATGAATTTTTTTAAGTTAATGACGTGCCACAATCTTATCAGTGTGTACCATAAAAAGTAATGCAAATACTTAAAAATTAAGATTAGCAGAAGAATGTTAGAAGATCAGCATTATATGATAATGTTAGAAGATCAGCATTATGTGATAATGTTAGAAGATAAGCATTATATGATTCTGACATCCAGGAAAAGAAAAGGCAACAATGATTCGGTTTCACTTATAACTAGCAACATGTATTCCGAAGTTGAAACTTCTTATGATATTCAGAGGAAGGGAAGTATACCATCCTATTAAAACTGGGCAGCATAAAAACAATGAAAGAAGAACTAGGTAGCATTTCAGCGAAGAGGAGAAGACTTAGAAAGAAGAACCGAAGGTAAAAAAAAAAAATTCGCCAACATTTCGCTGCTATTTGGACGCTGAAACAATGAAAAAGAAGAAGAAGAAGAAGAAGGAAGACATCATCGCATACCTGTTGCCGCTGAATCTCTGTTGAAGTTGAAAAGGGAACCCTAGTCGCTATTGCTGCTGGTCGTGTTTTAATAAAAGTACACTGATCCCTTCTTTTTTAATTAAATAGGCTGGCAGCTTCACTCGCTTTGCTTCGCCGCTTCTGCCTTTTTAGTGGGAAGCGCACGCTTTTGTCTACCTGAGTCGCTTCATATAGCAGAAACGGGTAAGGAGTCACTTTGCTTCTCGCTTTTCACAACCCTGGCATAAACACACACACACATCATACTCTCATCAGTTGAGTTTTGCAGGGATACACACACATCATACTTTTAGCAAAAACTGCAACCACTATCTGCCCAATAGTATCAGCAGTATGATCATACTTCAAATTATAAATTTATGCTTTTTGATGTTGAACAGAATATGTAGATGAGAATCGATCATGTCTCAAAAGAACATACATGACATGTCTAGAACTGTGAGAGGCCAAAAGGTTCCTGTCTACCTTTCTCAAACTGTTTATTTTTCATATAGAAGTGAACTTCAGAGAAGTTACTACAATAGAACAAAGAGGTATTAGAAGAGAACTTCAGAGAACCTGTTATTAGCCAGATGTCCTGTGCTTCTCGGTAATTCAGGTTATCGACAGATATAGTTTAGACATATCTTTCGGATGGATTGGTCTGCTTGATGAAGGATTAATTGCCTTAAGTTGGTGCAATGAGATAACTACCTGCAGATTTCATGGAAAAAGTGTGAAATGTTAGTATAAATAATGATTCGTCAATTGGAAAAAAAAATTAACTACAAGAATAATGACAAATGAAAACTTATAGACCTATTTACCACATATACATATACACATGCTCATTATTTAAATGAACGAACAGTTAACGAATAAGACATCAATACTCAAAAGAAATATGAGCTTAGATTTCCCAGCAAGTAAAGTTGAATTGGCAGGTATTGACAAAGATCTAAACTGATGTCGCAAGGAAACATCCAAGGTTCTAAATGATGGTAATACCTGTTGATATCAAACGAGATACAAATGACACGTAATGCAAATGAGAGAATGGACATTGCACATTAAAGGAACAAGCAAAGGTGAGATAGCAGATATGTTACACTTTGAATGGACTCCGTGATACACAAGTCATGAGCTAAAATATTGTTTTCCAGTATAGAAACAGCTTCTTCAAGAGCTAATTATGCCAAATTTTCCACATCTCAAACACTGTAATTGTAGTTTCTCAACTGAAGTTTCTGTCTCCAAGCTGTCTATGGCTATGTATTAACTGAATAAGACTGCTTCCAGTAGTTCATTTTATGTATATCTTATGTCGAGATTCATAGTTTTATTGATAAAAAAGAAAAATATTGACTTAGTTGAATTTCTATAGCAGACTGGAAATTGGCCTAGCCCAAGCATATCATTTTTACCAGGTAGTGAAATGTTAGATACATACTTCCAGTTCTACGAAACACAACACTCCACATAATTGGAACATATAATAACGTAGTGGTTTCATAATAACATAATTTGAATGTGTTAGCCAATGGTGCCAAAATGGTAAAACCCTATTTGACAACTAAGGATTGTAACAAAGCTAAAAGAAGTAGTAAAACATGAGTCCAACGAGATAACTCATAATTAAAAGAGCTCGTGCTGCTACAGACATAAGACCTTTCTTTACTCGGGCAATACAAATAAGTGACTCGTAGTACCATCGGATGTGCAGTAATGACGTTAGTGTCTACAATCAAATTAAGGATTTTTAGAGTATTTGTGCAATATATCAAATAGGAAATTGACCGAACTAGATGTCAATTATAACCTTGGTCGACCGTGGGATGGCTCTTCTATAAAATAGAAATTACTAATAGTTTGTGCCTCATTTAATTAATCACAACTTGAAACTAATCAAGCGATTATCTTACAAAAATTAAATGAAAAATAACCAATTCTTAACTTAAATAGGAGAGTAAAAGCATACACGAACTTCCTCTCTTAGCATAGAAAAGATTAGCAAAGGAGCATATTCAATTAATTGATCATCAAATGATGTTAGTCAAATACCGTGAGCAAAAACTATATTTTCTGGATGAGGAACCAAACATACAAATATCCAAGGTAACACGTAGTTCAAGATAAATAACCTAGGACCCTCTATGCTAGTCACTAATTACAGACACAAGGCAAGTCGATGATAAAGGGTAAGAAAGTGATCCGGCCATCTCAATAGAGCACTCGCTTGGTTTGTTTTGGGGGTTCACGTATTATTTCCAATTTCGGAGATGCCCGAGGGAACCTCATCAGCTCCTCTGATATCTTCAAGTATTCGCTTTCATGAATAGCATTTGTGGACAAAATTTACTCCATGCATTCCCACGTATAATACAAAATAATGATTTTCAGAATAACGAACAAGACAGCGAACACCGAACATCAATAGCAAATATCAAATCTCATGGTTTCTAACACAAAATCAAAACCTAATAAATAAATCCCACAATTTTGCAAACTAAAAATCATAAAATATATCCCATAATACAAACAAAACAGAAGCAAAATAATGGGTTTATCAGAAATATTATCAAAGAAAGAAAATAGAAGGAGCAATGAAATAATTTTTCAGACTAGGGAAGAAGAAAGCAAAATCGAACAATAATAGCAAATATCGAACAGGGTAAAAACCCGAAAACCTACCTTGGAGATTGTGGTATGATAGCCGATAATGGTCGTCCTTCACCGAAAATTATCGTCCTTCACCAGAGCTGGTCGACAGAATTCGTCGGTGTGTTCTAGGTTGATGAACAGAGAGAGGGGTGTTTGAGATTTTGGGGGAATCGCTGTATAAGATTGAAGTCGATGTCTTCTAGGTTAGTTTTTTGTTTTAGAGTTATTAAAATATTAGTGGGTTCCATTATTTTTGTTTTTTTAATAAATACCTAGGAGGAAAAGTAAAGGAGGGAAAATTTGTCACGCCCCGAACTGGGGGCGAGACCGGCACTCGGTGCCTCACCTATCCTCGCATACCAACTTGCGACTAAGGGACTCTGAACATGTAATATCATACTTAGGCCATGGGCCACATTACAAGACAATTGCGAATACTGACTAAATATCAATATAAGGTTGGGCCGACAAGGCCGTCATAACTACTACAGCTGACAAACCAACAAAATGTACATAAAAGGCCTACAAGCCCAACATACTGCATTAACTGACAGGATATGTCTACAAGCCTCTACTGATGGATATACTGTGATCGGAACAAGGTCATGTCCTACTCATAACATATATACATATATACAAAGATATACGTAAAGTTCTAAACCCGGCAACTCCGAAAGGCATGGAGCTTACCGATCAAGCTGAACTCGAGCAACACTTAATGAAGTGGTTTACCCGTCTGTCTGTCTGAACGTGCACGCATGAAATTCAGCGCACCCAGAAAAGGGACGTCAGTACGAAATAACATACCGAGTATGTAAGGCAATATACTGAAAGCTGAAACTGAACTGATAATATAATAACTGAAAGTAATTGGAAGTCAAAGATAATCTGAAGTTATACTTACCTGCTGATACTGACTCAACTCTCTCAATATAGTAAGTAAAATAGCTGTCCGGCCCTATAAGGCTCTGTATATATATAACTGCTTTGCCGTAGTAGGCTCGCGCATAGGCGCTCGGCCATAATAGGCTCTGTATCTCGACCAACTGGGCTCGCTCATAGGCGTCCGGCCATACTAGGCTCGGTATATAACTTACCATCTGATTTGAGGTTTCCCAATAGGAGCCTGCGCATCGATTATAGCTCGATGGTAATGAAAATAATGTCATACTATATATATAAACTCTCTGCTCTCTTGACTAGAAGAAGGAAATACTCAATTGAATATGAAGTCCCGATAGGAAAGTATACGTAAATTTCGGGATATGAATTTTCTTTATGGCTCATTATCAAACTCGTGTAATTACGAGATCATGCAAAATGAAGGAAGAGTTTAGCCTTAACATACCTGGAGTAGGAAAAATCCGTATGATATTCTTGAGAAGGATTACACCGTACTCCCTTAGAATTGCAAAATCCCGTTGCTATTACGCAGTGTAACTTTTATTGATACCCAATTTTTCCCTAGGTATTCTTATATACAAAATACTTTCAAAATAGCATGTACATACATATATAAGCATGCCCAAGAGTTTTGGTATTTTTCCCTAATTTTTAAAGATTTTAAAATCAATTTATTGTCCATTTTAGCAGTACAAAAAAGTAATTATTCCCCAAAACTATCCT